CGGGCCACGAGGAGTACGGGAGTTGCCACTCCGAGAGCAGGCACTGGACGAGCTTCTTGAAGCGTCGGTTGACGATCTCGACCGTGCCGTTGGACCACGGCGTGTGCGGGACCGTGAGATGGTGCCCGGCGCCATAGACACGGCTTAGCTCCTTGACGACTTGGTTCTTGAAGTGGGTGCCTTGTTCGGACACCCAAGTCGTCGGGACGCCAAACTGATTGGTGTAGCGGAAAAAAGCGTCCAAAAATGCGTCGACGTCGGCCGTCGCGTGGCTCGTCGCTTGGACCCAGCCGCTGAGGTCGTTCTTGAGGATGCAGACGTCGACCTCGCCGGTCGTAGTGGGGCCAAAGTCAAAGTAGAGCACTTCGTTGGGCTTGGAGGCGTGGATCTGGCTACCCAAAGGCACAGGAATGACCTTACCTGGGGCAGACTTCTGGCACTGGTAGCACTGCTGGCAGAAACGAGCGACATCAGCTTCTTGGTCGGGCCACGTGTAGCGTTTGTGAAGCACGCGAAGCGTCGTGTCGATGCCATGATGGCCTGCGAGGCCGCAGTGCGCGAGAATCACGAGCCTTGTCTTGATGTCAGTGTCGGGCGCCAGGGATCCACACGCTGCCGTTGTTGTCGCGGAGTAATCCGTCGGCGTCGTCCTCGGTGAGCTGCAACGCGGCGCCTTGCGCTTGGCATTGCCTTTGTAGGACCGCAATTTCCGCCACCGATGGCCAGACAAAGTCAGGATCGGACAAAGGTCGCGGGTTGTCGGGGAACCGTACTTGGATGATCGCGTTGTTGACGGGCGTCGCCGGTGCCGAGTGAGGCGCGCAAAAAGACACCGGAGCAGTGCTGTCCGCACCGGCACCCCATCGAGAGAGAAGGTCGGCCCAGACGATCGCTTCGCCCGCAATGTGGTAGATCTTGTACTGGAAGCCCATGAGGATGAGGCTCCAGCGGAGGACCTTCTCGCACGTGTGGCGCGGGAGAGACGGATCCCGGCCTTTCGGGTCGAAGAGGTAGATCAAGTTGGCGTGATCCACAAAGCAGAACTCGGTCGTCCGGAGCGTGAGGTGGGGTACACGAAGCACGGTGTCTATCATCGCCAACGCTTCCTTCTCGAGGATCGACCATGCCAGTTGGGAGCCACGCAACGCCTTTGAGTGGAAGAAGAACGGTGTGTGGTCTTGTTGGTCGACAGGTAGCTCGAGTTCCGCGCGCGGACCTGCGTGACGATGCCGCCGATGAAGTTGAGCGACACGTCGGGGAAAACGCAGATGACTTGCTGTGGGTCGGGATGCGCGAAGAGCGTGGCGGACGCTATCGCCGCCTTCACGGTGGCAAATGCGTTGATTTCGTCGGTTGAGAAGAAGCCACGAGAGAGAAATGTGCGAGTGGCTGCTTCATGTTCGTGCCCGCGGCGTGGTAGACACGCAGCAGAGCATCTTGCAGTGGCTTTGACACCTCGGCGTACCGCGGGATGTGGGTACGCATCCAGTTTGAGGCGCACATGAACTGGACGAGCTCGGCGCCATTGCGCGGTAGCGAGAGATCGACCAGCGCTTGGATACGCGCTGGGTCGTGCTTCACACCGGCACCCGAGATGATCTTGCCGCACCACTTGATTTCGCGCGCAAAAAATACGTCCTTGAGCGGGTTGAGCTTCAGTCCGACCTCGGCACAGCGCGTAAAAACGGCGTCGAGGCTGTCGAGCAGCTCGTCAGGCGACTTGGCGTAGATCAGATAGTCGTCGATCCAGATGAGGAGGCACTTGTAGAGCCATTTCTCGAAGATGTCCGTGACGGCGGCCTGGTAGTAGGCGACGGAGCCTTTGCCACCAGTCGGGATGCGGGTGCTTGTGAAGACGTCCATGTCCGTCATGAACGAGAAGATGTCGCGACACGCTTCGTGGAGCAGAAACTGCCAGTAGCCCTTGAACATGTCGAGGATTGCCAGAGCCTCCGCGTCGAGCAGGTGCTCCATGATGGCTTCGAGGTTGGGCATGGGCCACTGGACGTCTTCTGTGCACGAGTTGGCTTGGCGCATGTCGATCGTGAGACGCCAGTCGTTGGTGCCAGGCTTGCGGACCATGTGCGGGTTGAAGGCCCACGCACTGCTGCTGTTGCGATAGAGAATTGCATGCTGGACGAGATTCGAGATGTAGTTTCGCAACCATTCGCGCTGCTGAGGAGGCACGCGACGCGGCGAGCACTTGTATGGCTTCGCGTTGGGCTTGAGCTTGACCATCATGGGCGGGTAGTTGATTGGGGGTCCAGGCCGATAGCCGTCCGAAAGATGTCGCAGTGCTTCTCAAGCAGAAGTTCGAGCTTGAGCCAGAGGCGCCGCGGCAGACCGTTGGCTTTGGCTTCAGCGAGACGTGTCTGGAGGATATCACGCACTTCGCGACGTTGCACATCGAGAGGATCGGGCGTGGGCATACACATCTCAAGACCGTCGTAGATCGGGTTGTCTGTCATGGTTACAGTGGGGGCGGCCATCAATGTGCCAATGTGCGGCAGGCCGATTGCCGGGTCCGGTTGTTCGAGGTCGGCAAAGTCCCAAATGCGCCGAATCTCTCCCGCGCGTTGTAGGAGAGACGTTGGGTCGTAGCCCAGACGGTGCATGACGTGACGAGATACCAGCAAGTCACCGCAGTAGTCGGGCAACTCGTCTTCTTGGATCATACATGGCAGCGCCTGGAGCTTTACAGAGCTGCTGCCGGCGGGCAAAATGAGGTCGAGTGCCGCCTTGTCCTTGATCGTGGTAGCTTGACCCGTGAAAGCGAGCACCAATTGTGGGGATGCCAACGGTTGTGGCTTGATGTCGCATCCGGCCATGAGGGCTTGGTCCACCCAGGACCGAGTGACCACAGTCATGTCAGCGCCAGAGTCCAGCTGCACCGAGATGGGGATCGTCATGGGCGTCGCCAAGACACCCGAGAGGAGGTCACGACGAGGTTGAGCTTCGGTGGTGGCGACCTCCTTGACATCACCGCCGGCAGAGTCGCTGCCTGCGGCTTGAATCATGCTATTGCGCGGTAGGGCAGGTGTCGCACGTTGTTGCTCATAGTAGGCCTTGAGCAGGGCCTTCTTTTCGGCTTTGCCGCCGTCTGTGTCCGGGATCAGCGGGCATTTCCACACGTTGTAATCGGCCGACTTGCACTTGAGGCACGAATGCTTGGGCTTGGCATCGCCCGCACCACCTTGCTGTGGCGACTTGGCTGCCTTGGTGGCGCCGCCATCGTTGCCTCCACCGGCGGTGTTCTTGGGACCGTGGTTGTGCTTGTGCTTCTTGAGACCTTTGGAGCCGCCGACGTTCACCTCAACGGGGGTTACGTCAGCGCTGGCGCTTGGGTGGCCTTCTTGCAATAGTCGAAACGCGTGTAGGCTTCAAACGTGTCGACGAGGAGGCCAATGAAGTTGTCCCAGCTCTTGTAGAGCTTCTTGGAGAAACCGATCTCCTGGCGGAGATGCACTTGGAGATGTTCGGGCCGCACCGCGTTGATGACTTGGTTGCGCGCGGCTTCAGGCTCGACGTCCATGTAGTTGCGGAAACCCGACTCGTCGCAGATGCGCATATACTGCTCGATGAGAACCGCGGCACGAGACGCGCCGCTGCGAATCGATTCGTCACACCGCAGCTCGCGGCGGACGCGTGCATGGAAATCCGCGATATTAGTCTTGGCGCGTTCGCAGTCGGTCTTGAAAAACGTGTAGGTCTCGGAATCCGTGAACTCCTCGGGCTCTTTGGTTTGGCCCAGCGGATGCGAAGGATTGCACGGAGCGTCGTAGGCTCGACACTGTAAGCGCAGCGTCGGTGTCGAAGCGAGTGACTACACCCGGGACGCTGCCGTTGTTGCGTCGGAGCTCCGGTGTCTTGGCAGGAGACGGCAGGTTGGTGCTGCGGTTGTCCTTGCGGAGCGGGTGCCGTTGCGCCCTCTCGAACTACATAGCGTCTGTCCCCCTAAAAACTCTATTTCTACGCTCTACCGACACGTTGAAACGCCCACGTCAAGGGCTCGCGATGCGGCTGTTTGAACCAGAGCGATGGGTCAACGCCTTCGGTGCGCTGCTCGAGAAGAAAGCGAGCGATCGACGCGTGGCCATTGACGGTTGCTGCCGTTGCCGCCGCGATCGTGCAGCCCTCGGTCCTTGCAGAGTGTAGAAAGACGACACTGTCGTAGTGACCATTCATGGCCGCGCCGTCCATTGCCGCGGTGGAGCATATAGCACCCGCTTCATGAAGCCACATCAAAAGCTCGAGGTTGCCCGACATGGCGACGAGGTCCATCATCTTGGGTGTGGCCAGCGCTGGAAACTGCTCGAAAAGAAGACGCAAAATCGGACCTTGCGACGCAGCAGCAGCAAGCTCAAGCGTCGCCGAACTGCACTGCGAGGCGTCGCGTCGCAGCCAGCGCTGGACGAGCGCGACGTCGCCTTGGACAACCAAGAGGTGGAGCGCAAGGGCTCGGTCGTAGAAGTATGGCGAGACAAAGAGCGCGTGATGAGGAAGCTTGGTCGTTGGGTGGGGGTAACGCTGAAGGTACGGTAGCGACCCAAACCGGACTGGGACGTTGGCAAGGTATCCTGGTTCGCCGTCGCTCGTGAACCCCGTCAAGTACGGCGTGAGCTGAACGATGGCCAAGTCTTGTGGTAGTCCTTCTTGGTACGACCCCATGGTCTTCATGAGTTCCGGCGACCGGAGCACGGACGAGGCCATCGTCGCCAATAATGGCGTTTGCGTTTGGTCGTTGGCGCAAAAACAATACTGAGGACGCTCTTCTCCGTCGCTGAAGCCGACCCCGCGACACCTTCCTGAACCAGATTGATCGCGTTATGACGACAACCCACCGATATCCTGTCAACGACGGGTTGAGAAAGCAAGGGTGTATAAACTATGTGTTGGCTCTTGGACAAAGTTACATTGTTGCAGTGACCACAAAAATATATTAGTACATTATAGTTCAATCGAGAAAGAGAACTATCAGCGTGATGCATGTGCTCCACCTGCCGCAACCCCATCATCAGCAAAAGTTGGTCTTGATGGGAGGGTGGCGGCAGGTGGGGCCATCGCGCGACGCGTCGTGACATGTTGAGAAGAAATGCGACCTCGAGACGCTTGGCCGGCCATGCAATCCTATCATGCAGCACATACAAGTACCAAGAGACCACATTGGACAGCCTACCTCGACGCGTCGGCGCTTGCTGCTCGAGTCGTCTTTTCCATTGAGTAGACTGTGGCAGATGGTGCATCTACGCGAGCCACGATTGTCATGTACGAAGTGTGTCAACCTGTTATCGCTTACATTTCGTTGTTGTCGTCGGGGCAAAGCAAGGGCCCTAGTGCATTTAGCACAAGTCGGGCTGTCGACCGCTGCGTATCATTGTACGCTTGGATGGCCAGGCGACGCTATGATGCAGTAGTCAAGGTCCTGCAACGTTTACATTCGACAGCGTACCTTGGGCGGACGGTCCACCCGCTGTGGGCGGAGGACGAGCGTCTCGTCTGGTCGGCTATTTGAACGCAGCGCGCGCGTAATGGGCCGCGGGCTCGCCTACTCGATCGCATGAGGCCATGGATGGGACAGTCGAGTCCGGACCTGGCCGGGCGCTGGGCGCTGGTTCGCGTTGAGCTGGCGCTGCTAGCACAGGCAGCCTCGGTCACTTGTTGCAGTCGTCGGCAAGGTCCAAGGTCGACGATGGCATGGCGGGTCACGGCCGCCTGGGTCCATGGGCTCTGGCTTGGGGGCTCAGACGCAGAATTGACTTTGACGTGCAGAAGCAATGCCGCTTTTGGCCCTTCTTGCCTTCTTGCACTTCATGGACTGCGACATGTGAAGAAACGATTTGGATTGGCTCAAATTAAAGTGAGCACTTTAATTTGAGCCCATCAAAATCGGTTGTTGTTTGCACTTCGTGCCACGTCACGTAGTTGAAGTGGGTCGTGCTGAAGTGCGTCCTTGTGTCAATATAGGTAGCGCAACGCGACTTGGTGCACGTTGGAGGCCGTCTTGGACGTCGAGTAATGGTAGCCCGAGAACGTTGTTGGCAAGACCGCGCTGGTTCAATCCCACTGCTGAGTTTGCCTCGCTCCAAGCTTTTTAGCTCGTCCCTCGTCTCGTGTTGACTAGTAAGGTTTGTCCGCAGCACGGCTCGGCCTTGTTGACGTCGTCCAGATCACTCTGCCATGTGCTCGCTGGCTCGACGCAGCCAACGCGACACCAAAAGATAATGTTTGGAAGGACGCACACGTGGACTACTCCGCCTCCGATATGTCGGACGCCTTGCTCTTGCAGCTGCGTTCGTAGCGCCCAATCAAGGACCGTGACACTCGCGGGTCATTGGCAAGGAGCGCCGCGCACTTGTGGCTGCGAGCGTTGTAGGCGTGCCGCGTGACCACGGGCAAGGGCGCCGCTGCACCCGGCTGGTCGACGAAATATCGGAGCAACTCGACGTTGTCCGTCGAGAGTACCGACATAATGGCCGTTCGCAAGGCACCGCCATCGTTGCGGTGCGCCAAAAGAAACTGAATGAGCGCCAAGTTGCCACTGTAGACGACCCCATAGATTCACTGTTGAAGCCGGCATAGTTGTGCTCGTGGAAAAACTTGATCAAGTTGATGTGGCCATTGGCAGCGGCGCTCTAGAGGAAGGCTCGGCTCCACGTGTGAATGGCGTTCTCGTGCACAAACTGGAACGTTGAGTTGTCCAAACAAGCACAAACAAACGGCGCCACACAAAGCCGTCTCGCGCGAGTGAACAAGGAGCTCGAGATGCCCCGCCTCGGCGGCGCGTGCCACCACATACGTCAACGTCACCGTGCTCTGCTCCAGCAAGTCCTTGGACCCGACGCACGCTCGACGGCCCGAGCAGTCGATCTCCATGCGCGCCGCCACGAGCTTGACGTCGAGTGCTTCCACCAGCTCCATGCTGCCGATCGCCATGGCATACGCAAAGAGGTGGGGTTGACAGAGCCGATCGAGCTGCAAGAGCCCATGTCGAACAAACCACCGATCAAAGACATCGTGTACGTCGCGAACGAGTGCTTCTCGGGCACGTGATTGCGCTCTTTGGCGCAGCAGATAGGAAGGCCATTGCAGCAGAGCGTGAGCATGGCGCGCGTGCAGCTGTCCACGCTACCTTGAAAGTACGCCACGACGGCCGAGAAGAGGTCGGTACACTGCAGCGCCGTGCTTATGCACTCTTTGGCAGCGTGCTGGGCCATCGCCTTGTTGATGCACTGGACCGCGCCGAGGACAAAGGCGACGACGTTGCTCATGCGACTGCTGCAACGCGTCCGGACGGGATCACTGTCCTGGCCAATGGGGTGCGTGCTCGTTGCTGATTGGCCAGTCCACCGCGTTTCGCCGACACCCGCGAGTCGCTTCGCTGACAGGTTCAATTTGGGGACTCGGCTCTTTCCTACTTCCTAGCTCAACCCCACTACATGGTCCATCGCGGGGCCATCACATGCCCGTGGCATTCGCTCCACGGAAACAATCTACACCACCAGCATGACTGTGGAATCACTATGCATCGTAGACAACCAAGCGTGAGAAAACACTCATGTGCATTAGGAATTGTGCAGCATCCATCGAATGTGTCGGGGGGTACTGCTGTCGTTGCCGTGCCGACTGGCAAACTTGATGGCGTCCAGCAGCTCGGTGCACGCTGGTAGCGTCTTGCGTCCATCGGCCAGCGCTCGAAGGCAACGTTTGATCTACGCCCAGTCAATGAGCCATCTCGACGCAAAGCGCTGGCTCGATACTTTGAGCGGCGACGACGCTGTAAAAACACCGTGGGCGAGGCTATGGTCCAAGACCAAGATCGTCGCCGCCATCGCTCGCATGCAGTAGTAAGCTTGCGCTGCGTCCAGCGACCTAGGTTGCACATTCGTTATGCTTCTAAAGGCATGGTTGACGCACGCCGACTTGGTCGATAGCGTCGCGTAGGCTGCATGGGCGACAGAGGCTAGCGCGGTCACTGCCTCTGGGTGCTACCGTAGAGCACCTAATGCATTAAGCAACAGTTGGGTCGAGCGTACGTGCAAAACAGTATCGGTGAGCGCGTGGCCAAGGAGCTTGATCGCGGGCGTGTGCTCACCGAGGAAGAGCGAGAGCGCGTTGACATTGGTCTCTGAAATTCTACAAAAATTCAACAAAATGGAGGACATTGGATCCCAGAGTGTACTCGTGCGGCGCTGACTCCTTCTTGGCCGACGATGCGAGGTGACGCCGGTAGAGACTCACGTCGTTCTGCACTCGGGGCGTCATGGCCTATACACATTGATGTCTGTTGTAGCATACCATGTGCACGTGCGTATGGACCTTGAAATGATCAAAGGCGAGCGCAAATATGCAAATGTCAGCCACTCTCTGCAGCAACTCGCGGGCTTTCTCGCTGGTTGCTGCTACAGGACATGATATACCTAGCCTGTTGCTTGGAAGCTACGAACTCTCTGGTTGCGCCAGGTCCATCACGAGTTGGGGCAACGTCGCGCCTACGTCCAGGCTCGCACACGTCGTAGTAGACTGTGAGCGGCGTACCATGGTCCATCACCACCAAGTACACTTTGTGGAGGAGTGCCACGTTGGCGGCAAGCGCCTCGAGTGGTCGTGGTCGCTCCGAGGCCTATTCAGCATCAATAAGGTCAACAGCCAGATATGCGAGCAAACCTGCTTGGGCGACTCGGCGTTGGCTTCGTAGGCTTGCAGCTGCAGCAGTAGACCTTCGGCGACGTCGTCGGCGCTTGTCCGCGTCGGTGCTTCTACCACTCGAGTGTCTTCTCTTGCGTAAGCTCGAACAGCCTCGTACCCTCGTTTGGGAGAAGGAGCAGCTTGGCCTTCGTTGTCTTGGACGCATGTACGTTGCCCATCGGGTCCTCGACACGGAGCAGCGGTTTCAGAGATATTGGATATGATGCGCTCATAGTTTGGCTCGTGCGTCTACCATCCCATCTCGTCGAAGGTATGTATCTCGCCGAGCTGAAGGCGAGAAGAAGACATCGTCGTAGCCAGAGGTTGATTGCGCGAAGTGTAATGCAGCGCACGTGAGTGCAACGCCGCAACTGCCTTCAACGCCGTCGACGCCGTCAACATTACTACGAACGTCGTCTCTGTATCGCAGGCGCGATGCATGTCGTAGTGCAACAGGAGATTGCTTTGCATCCTGGGCATCGCACGCTGAAGGTATCCCAAAAATGACAACCTCGTGGGGCCCCTCCTGCCAAGCGTGCGCGCTAAGAACTAGTCGTCCAGCGAGCTCGTACGCGTTGAGCATTTGCATCTTGCGACCATGTCGTCCCATCTTGGAGCGCTCATTATGAAAGTCTCGGAGACTGGCATGGTCCGCTTGGCGGATCTGCTGCACTGACAGTATCGCGAGATGCCACGGGATCAAGATGGGTGGGACCAGTGGTCTCTTCCAGTGTGTTGCACCCTTCGCAATAGCGTGTTATCGCATGCCAGGCACGGTAGAGCTACACGGTAGAACGCTGCAGCTCCACCGAACCACACCCGCCTATCTGACGCGTCCCGGATACGGTAGATCTGAGAGCGAAGATCCGGTTGATATTTGTGGTCGGTGCTGGTCGGTGCCACTGCAAAGATTTCGAAACAGCCAGCGACGAGATGGCAACGACGACGTCGTCGATGGCGACTACAGCACGATGGCCTCTACGCCAGGTGGCTGCAGGACGACGCCGTTGGTATTGCTGTGGTCCGTGGCCTGCTTGGCGACCTTGTAGTGCTGCGTGCAGACGCCATCGACCTTGCCGAGACGCTTGCACGTCGGGACGCTGCAGAGCAGATGCCGACGGTGCTGGTTGCACAAGCCACCGCCACGGTCCTTGTTGAAGCAGCCCGGTGCCGCGCAGAGGACAAAGCCACCGTGCGCCGAACAGCGCTTGCCGCGCTGCGCTCGCATGTGGCAGCCCGGCTCCGTGCAAAGCTGGCCGCCGCCGTGCGCAATGCACTTGCCGCCGGCCTGGGAGCTTTTGCTGCAGCCTTGAACCACGCAACGCGGGCCACCGCCGTGCTTCTTGCAGAGATCATGGCTGTGCGCAGCGACGTGGCAGCCCGAGACGGTACACGCCTTGCCGCCCCCGTGACTGACGCACCGGTTCGATCCACGCGACGATGCTCGCTTGCAGCGCGGGTAGTCGCACTCCTTGCTGCCTGTCTGCGCTACTAGTACCTGGCGTCGCGGGTGGCGGTAGCCGACGCTCGGCAACGGGCTTAGCGGTTGGGGTCTGGTCGCGTCGTCCTGGACCTTGTCGTCATTGCTGCTGCTGACGAGGATGAACGACATGGCCATGCGAGGATGCGGGGTTGCGTCCGGGGCCATGGGGCTTGCTGCTATTGTCTGCAAATGAACGTCCAAGTTGTTGTGTGATTTGAACAGTAAAAAACAAGTGTATAAAACTCCTCTCGAAACATGACCTTCAACAACAGTTTCGCAATCGGTATCCCACGAGTTGTTGTCTTGATGCACTGTGCACTAAATTGTCGGTGTGATACAAACATTATTTGTACTCATATATAAAGAGATACTAGATCGGCTTATGCGAAGATCGCGCCGGGAATGAAAAAAATCAGGAGTTCCACAGTGGCAGCTCGCTCTTGGCCATGCCTCCGGTAGCATGCACCCACTCCTGTCGCGACTGTCGTTCGTGTGGCGACTCTAGTAGTGCCAACGTTCTTTCGTCTCTCGGCAGTACTTCGATCCTTGGCATGCGCCAGTAGTAGAGACGAAAGAAACAGTAAGAGGGCTGGAGGTTCATGTTGTTCGACGTGCATACAGCTCACAAAAAGCTGCTCTGTGCTGGGCAACAAATCACGCTTGATTCATCCCACCTGTCTTAGATACACTATCAAGCTGAAGGTGTAGTCTTTGGAGGGTCCTATACTCGAGTTGGCCACGCCAACCTCCGTCGCACGCGCGTCAGGTGCGTGACGATGCCGCTGCCACACACCTCGACGACGACGACCTTCCCACCGCTTCGTTGTCCCAGCAGTGTCCCAAACATACCGACATACCAAAGACGTGTGCATCCTGTTGCCGCTTCCATACATCGCATTGCGCTCGTGTCGTCCGCTTGCCACGTCATATTTTGTTTTCGGCATGTGCCGCGTGTTTCTGTTCCATGCCGCAAATACGTGGACCGCGCGCACCTTTCCCGGAACGTGGACGCTGGTGACAAAAGAGGGTGGCAGCCGCGGCCCAGAAAACCACACACGATGACGGACGCAGCGCTCTTGAGCTTGGACCGCGACGTCTTCCTGCGGCTCTTCGCCTCGGACGCCAAGGTCTCCGAGTTCGTCTTCATGGAGATGAAGGGCCTCGCGAAGAAGGTCGCGACGAAGCAAGCGATCCCGGACGGGCTGCCCGAGAACCTCTTGACCATCGTGGCCCGCGTCCTCGCCGCCGACGAAGCGCCGATCGACCAGCTCGTGCAACGTGGCATCTTCTCGCTCTCGCGCCTCCTCGTCATGTGCTCGGTCTACGCAGAGAGCAACGTCCAAGCCATGCAGTGGGTCGTCGAGCGCCTCTTTGCCCGCGCGCCGCTCCTCAAGGAGCAGATGCCGATGCAGCATGCGGTCTTCTACCAGGTTCGCACTCGATCGCATCAACCGCGCGCGCTCACGTATATGCACAGGCGCTGGTCGAGCTGCATGGGCGCGCCAATACGCTCAAGGACGCCGACGAGGCGGCCACAGAGCTTCTCGAGCAGCTACAGGATATTGCGCAGTCGGTACATGCCCCATGACTGCGCCTTGACGCCGCTCATATGCTCTCTGTAGGTCGAAGCGCTTGGCGCCTGCTCGCCGACGTTTCTCGACGTCTTGACGCCGCCGGGCCAGCCGCTGGCACAAGCGTTTGATGGCAACACGCTCCTGCACGCCCTTCTCGTCGCATACGAATGCGACCTTCCGATGCTCGAACAGACGATTGGTGACAAGCACTCGGCTCGTGTGCTCCTTGGGAAGACGCGCCACCACCTCCTCACGGTGCGATTTGCGCTGTTACGCGCGGTAAATCTCATATTATATGGACGCTAGTTGCTGGACCACTGGCTCGAACACCACCTCCTCTCGGCCATGCGAAGTCGACCGACCGAGGCGGACGAGGCCTGTGAGACGCTCTTCTCGCTGCTCGACGCGCTTCTGCACGGCAACGCAGCGCCGTCGATCGTCACGGAGCACGGCTCGTTGCTCTCGGACTACAACCAATGCTTTGATCTGACGGTAGATTCAACCTCTCTTCCCCCATCTTGACGCTGCTGAATAGCGAAATTGTGCGACCGCGTTTGCGGCGGCCGGTATCGACAGCACGCGCGCCGAGTACCTCGGTATGATGCTCAACGGTCTGCCCGTCCGCGCGGCGCCCGCCCCTGTCACGCCCATGGCACCGCCGACGCCATCTGCCACTACCGACGTCGACACGTCCGCGCTCATCGCACAAGTCCGCGACGTCTTTCCAGACCTTGGCGATGGCTTTTTGGAGCTATGCATCAAGGCGTGCAAGCACCAAGCGGACAACGTCATCATGGCGCTTCTCGAAGACGCTCTGCCCGCCGGTGCGATCTTGCGCCTGTGAAAAATATCTCATTGCATGACGTCACAGAGGTCTCGTCGCTCGATCGGCACATGACCAAGACCGACCCGGCGTACATTACGTTGACGGCGCCCAAGCCGACGGCAACCGTCGACAAGACGCAAGTTTGGGTATGCTACCTCACCTATAACCAACATCGACGATACAGTCGGTCGGGTGTAGGTCGGGAAGAAGAAGCAAGCGGCGACGTACAAGGCCGAGAGTGCCAAGGACGATGCGGCGACGGCCGCCAAGACACAGGCGCTCATCATGGCATACGACGAAGAACCGCCGCTGTGGATGGATGCACCGAATATCAACGAGTACAACGACGACTACAACGACGAGCTCGAAGAATACGAACCGTTTGGCGTCCATGACGATGAGCCGACCGACTATGAAGAGATCAAGGCCCGCAACAAGATGGTCCGTGCACAGGAAGCCGAAGACGCCTACTGGGAAGGCATGCGCAACAAAAACCATGATACCGCAGTGTCGATGCAAGAGAAGAAGACGGACGACGACGAGGCCAAGCCGCCGGCACCCCAAGGCCGCCGCACGACCAAGGCCAAGGGCGGCGCGATCGGCGCCGAAGACAAGACAGCGTCGGAGGACCCGAAAAAGCAAATGATCAACCGGGCGCGCAAGGAGCATAACAAAGCGAAAGTGGGCAACCACCACCGCAAGGAAGGTGCGCGGCGAAAGCAGGCCAAAGGCATGGCGTAGAGACAACGTGATAAGCGAGAAGATCCACTTGTCCATCCAACGCCATCGTGTGTATATATCCAACTTAGTAGGTTGTCCTACAGGGAGAGGGTTAGCGCGGTCTTGACAAAACACCCAAGTACCTTCGCAGGCGGTTGGCGAGCTTGGCGCTCTCTCGCTGCCGACGCTTCATGGCCGAGACGTCTTCTTTCTGAACGTCGAGGTCGGGCGAGAGGTAGATGCTCGGCATCGCCAGTCGAATTTGCTCGACGCCTTGGCCGCTGCCGTCATGATACCCTTTCGGGGGCTTGCGCGGTGACGAAAATGGTGCGCGGGTCGGGCTGCTCTTGGGAGCTTCGACGTCGAATGCTTCGGGACTCGGTTCGGTGACAATAACCGGTGACGTCGGCGCGTCAATTGGCAGTCGGCGATCGCTCTTGCGCTGTCGAAACGAGCGCTGTCGCTCGGGACTCGTGACGACATTTGGGAGATCACTTTTTCGCTCGTCATGGAGAGGAATCGAGCTCAGCGTGTGCGACTTTTTGCGAAGGCGCGCGATTTCGGCTTGGCGCTTGGGCGAGATCGACTCGCCGGACGAGGCGGCCAGCGCTTGGTTTTCGTCCCAACTCGACTTGATCACGTCGAGGTCGGCAAACTTGGTCAGCCACAGCGCCTTCTCTTGGTCAAACACCGTCATCGTCACGCGCTCAAAGAGCTTGGTCAAGAACGTCACGTACTCGTCGACGCCAATCTCAGTCGTCCAAATGTCCGCCTGCGAAAATCATCGACATCCACTTGATACATGGATAGATACCACTTCAAAGAGCGACCGGTAAAACATCGCCTTGGACATGGCTTCGCTGGCCGCGCCCACGTCCCGCGCCCAGTCCTTCTCGACAATCTTGCGGGCTTCGGCGACCGCAAACTGCCATAGTCGAGTGAATACTCGAATCGACAAAAATCTCCAAATACACAGATAATACACAGAAAAGACACAGAAAAGACACAGAAAGGACACAGAAAGGACAGCGACAGGCAGCCACGCACCTCTTGGGGGGGCACGAGCGCTTTGAAGAGCTTGACAAAGACGTCGCAGTACTCGGGTTCGTCAATCGTGGTTTTGCCGAGGCGGACGCTCGTAAACGTGTCCCAGAACCGGCACAGACAGGCTTGGATTTGGCGGTCGTTCTGGAGGCGCTGGCGCTGCTCCATCTTCTCGGCCGTGTACAGCGATGGGTTGCCCTGCTTGCGGTACGACTCGTCGAACGAGTGCTTGAGTGTTTCGTAGCCAAAGAGGAGGTGCGTCTGCTTCTTGTTGGTGCACATGGCCGACGTTTTGACCTTGGAGAGCTGCGGCACGAAGAACGGGACGCCCTCGTCGATCTTTTCAATGTGCTTGCGGTCGCCGCGGAGCGACGTCAGGTACGACCCGATCGCGTCCTTGGGGTTCATCTTGCGAGCACGAGGCGCAAAAAATAGAGTTGTCAATTAGCGTTTTCAACTTCTTCGACTATGAATAGTCGCTTCGACTAAACGACTAAAATGGCGCATAATCCTTTGGGGTGACCGCGCTGAGGGTCGACGCGAGATGCGCCCACCCGAGCGTACGGCAGAGCGCAATTTTCTTGTCCAGAATCTAGTCGCCCCTTAGTACTTATCGATACTAGAGCCCATGTACCTCTTTGGCCGCGCTCGGTTTATCACTGCTTGACGTCATCGTGTACAAACGCTAGATTCATCCACCATGAGACAAAGGAGGATCGAGGTAGACTACCTGAAGAGCAAGACCGTAAAAGCCACGTCGCGTGTCGTCATACAGCGCTGCGTGGAGGTGCTTGGCATCGGAATTTGTCGACGCCCACTGCTGCAGAAGGGTATACGTCGACGCAAACTCGACGTCTTTCGCCGCGTCGGCGAGGGCTCGGGCTTTGCGACCAAGTGCGTCGAGAAGTAGCGCCTTCTTCTTGTCGTTCTCCTTGCGCAACGCCGCGGGCGATGACGGCAGGGCCCTGAGCCCATAGTACGCCGCCAGCGTCGGGAGCTCGGGCAAAAGCTGCGCCAAAATGGCATCGGCGGCCGCCACGATTGCACTCAAGTGGTCGAGACGCGTCTTCTCGACATCCAGATGCTGCAGATGCGCCTAGACGTGTCAAGGTATGAGCTACGAAAACAAGATAACTTGACAAACGCGGAGGAGCGGCAGGTGCCCCGGGTACGAGGTCATGAGATGTTGCCACTGGGGCAGAAACTCGTCTTTTCCGATTTTCTTGGTGACCCGGGTCACGAGAAAATCACGCAGCGCGTCGGCATCGGCACTCTCCGTGTCGGCATCGTCGTCGTCTGGGCTCTACATTGCGGTTTTGTATCAAGTTTGTATCAAGTGGTGGATAGACGGAACCTTGGCGTCCTTAGCTTCCGGCTCCTTGAATTTGGTCTCGGACGGCGGCACGGTATACGTCAGAGCAAAGCCATCAGGCTTGCAACTCGCGCTACATGCGAGTCCTTCAGCCCCCAACGTGTCAAGTAGAATACCCGCGCCATGTCTCGGGCTGCTTTTTCCCATATGTGATGCGACCCGTGAGGACGTCCCCGGGGGCGACGCCTTTCGGGAGCTTCTCGATCGGAGGCTCTCCGACAAAGATGGGTAGCGCGGCGCCTTTGGCCAGCACCCTACGACACGTCACTTATGAAACAGGACATGTCACGATGAGACTTCTTACGTCGTCGCCATTGGCTTGGCTTGAAGGGACGCGTTCTCGGCGGCGGCGTAGACAGGCAACACTACGTCTTTCACACTGCGATCGACAAGCAAGAGGCTCTGCATCAATCCGTTCAAAACAGAGTACTCGTGGTGCCGAATCTACGCGATCGTGCTGTAAACCATCTCAGAATCTCAGACACAAGTAAGAGAAACGTGCCTGCACACGGGCAACGTAGGTCCCTTTGGCCAACGTCATCTCGGTCGGGTACGCGTCCGAAGTGCCGACGAGGTTCTTCAGCGCATCAAACACCATGAGGAGCTGCGCTTCGAACGGCGAGTCGTACAGCTGCCCGTTGAGCAGCGGCAGTCGCCAAATGACGCGACCGTCGTCGACTTGTGTCACCTTGTAGCTCAGCACGAGTTGGTAGATGCTACGGTGGTCGGACCACGCACTTCGCGACGAGCACGGCGACACGTGCGCGCTCGTCGGCCGAAGACGCTGCGTCCAGCGCTGCAGTTTGGCGTCCGGAAGCAAAGTCTCGGTGCGCAATATTGCTTTTAGGTCGACGCGCGTGGTGCCGTCGCCGGCGTGCAGCGTCACCTAACCGCAGTCATATTGCGATACTGCAACACGGCTATTGAATAGTATATAGTACCTGTGACGGGTCGGGGAGGATGCCGCGAAAGACACCGTCGATGCGCAGCGTGACGGGACCCCCTGATGTGCTCCAAAATGGCGCAATCGCGAGCTCGAGCGTCGCGTCCGCCCGGACGCTCATGCTGACGCCGGTGTCCGCTGCGAGGTCCGGTACGAACCGCTTGTGAAGGTACTTGGCGTTCGGGCGCGTCATGCTTTCGTACTGGTTGAGATGCAGTACGGTCGTAGGACTCTGGCTGTCCGGCGTCGCGACGCAGAGGTTCAGCCACGTCGCTCCTGGTGGCACGGTGAGGAACGTTCGATGCACCTTCCCGGGCGCCACCGAGGCCGTGACGGACACGCCGTCAGTGACCGGGAGTGGTTTGATGACATTCACGGGAATGCGCATGCACGGACTCGTGTCAGATGGCGTCTCAAACGCCAGGATCTGCGCGTCATGGACCTCGTTCGTCGCCAAGTGCTCGATTTCGATCGAGACGACAAACGACCGGCCGTCGTTGCACAGCGTCAGCATCGACGGCACGCGCACCCACGGCTGCGTCGCGACCAGACGCAACGTTTTTGCATACGCGACCCGGTCGGTGTTTGGCGCCGCCTTTGGAAAGACTGGTGTCACTTTGATCGTCCGCTCGACACGCGCCGGCGTCACCTCGAACGGCTCGCGGAGGCAGATGCCCCGCGCCGTCGGTCGTCCTGGCGACGTCACGCGCACGTCCAGGAACCACGGTTGTTCAGAAAGGCGAGGGCCATGACGCACCGCGTGGTCAAACGCTCCTGGCGTGTTGACCAAGCCGCAGCCTTGTTCTTGGGCCCTGACACCCGGCAATGGCGTCGCTGTCGCTTCGAGAGCGTGTCGGAGACTGTACGGGTGGTATGGAATCTGCTGCGCCTTGAGACTGCTGATGAGAAGCGCAAGGACGCCCGCGCAGTGCGGCGCGGCCATCGACGTTCCGTTCTTGAGCTGCTGCTTGCTCAGTGTCCAATGGGGCACTGACGTGATCGCACCACCGGGTGCGACGACCGAGATGCCATTGTCGCCGTCTAACGACGGGCCGCGCGACGACCACGTATACAACGTCGACTCGGCGAACGGCGGGCACAAGCTGTGGACATTGGACATCATGTCCCGTGAAACGTACGCGCCGACACCGAGTACGCTGGATGAGAGCCCGCACGGACCTTTGATCGTCCCGAGCGCCGGGCCGTCGTTGCCCACGCTGCCTACAAACGTGACGCCGTGGTCGTGGACGAGCTCGTTGATGAGGTCGACGGATCGGCCGTGGTTGGGATGTACGACGTGTTCGCCGTAGCTCATGTTGACGACGTCGCACTTGTGCTGGAGGACCGCGAGGATACCGCGCGAGATGGCAGTGCCCGTCTCGGCCGACCCCATGCGTGTGTCGCCAATCTTGATCGATACGAGCTGCGCGCCGGGCGCAATTCCATTGTTGGCTGCGTTTTCTGGGTCGTGACCGGCCGCGATCGACGCGACGTGCGTGCCGTGCGACCCGGCGTCACAGACGATGCTAAGGACGTCGCCGTTGTCGTAGACGTTGAAGGCGTAGTGCAGCTGGGAGGCGTCGCTAAAACAGCGAAACTCGCACCGCTTGTGATAGACGCCGATGGCTTCGATCGCGCCAAAGTCGCAGTTGCCCGAGTCGTCGATCGCCGCCCGCCACTCGCTCCCGTCAAAAAAGAGGATGCAGTCGTACACAGGCCCCATGTCGTCAAAGCTCTTGGCCGATTCGTCGAGGATCGAGAGCTGTGCCAGTAGGTCACGGCGCACGTCGACCGTACGCTCGGACGTCTCCCACGCCACCAACTTGGCCTGGACAACGTCGATGGCCGCGCGGTGCAATGTGAGAAAGGCGTCTTTGGCCTCGGCTTTGAGGCGCTTGACGAGCGGCGCGGGAAAAAGCTCGTATGCGCGCTTGGAGCCGATGCGGTACGAGCCATCGACGGCGGTCCACGATGGGTTGAGCGTCCACGTCTTCTTGCCGACCTTGAGCTTGCCATCCTTGGCCTTGACGACCGTCGACATGTCGACATCATCTACAGAGCATCGCAGCATAAGGCATGGTCGCAACTAGCAAGCTCGATGAACATACTCGCGCCCTACGTTAGCAGCATGAGGTACGATGCTGGATCGCGATATATGTCTATGGTACCGTGGCGTCAATGACGTCGAGCAGCTTGGGCTTGCCGTCAGTGGTCACATGAAGACCGGCGGCGCCCATGTCGACGCCTGTGTCGAAGATCGCGACGATCGTGTTGCGTCCGTCGTACGTTGGGTACCGGCGTAGGAACCCATCGACGTCCGTCTCGCATCTCGGGACGCCGGCCATTGCGCACCTGACTTGCCTCGCGATGCCATTGGTTGACGCTCCAAAGATACCACCAATCGCATCGTCTGCGTTTGCACCTTT